TTGAGGTAAGTGATATCTTCTGGTTCCTGGGTGTGAAGACTAAGGTCAGGCATCTGGTAACTATTGGTGGGGAAATGGGGCGTTGACAAATGCTGCCCTGTAGTGGGTAATGAAGAATTTGTTGTTCTCATCCCATCCTCCACTATCAATAATGAATGGTATTAAGCTACTTTCTTTGATTTTACAAGATTTCCATGTTATGGGATTGACATGTCCATCAAATTGGCAAATACTGGGTTGTTCTTCTGTCTCTGTGTTAATAGTTTCTTCTAAAGGAGAAGCTCTGTTCAATCTTTGTTTAGTATTTAACTCAGCATGCAATTGCAATAGTCTTTTCAAGGGGTATGTTGAGTTGTAATAACTTGGCTTTAAGCAGTCCAATCCATCTTATAGCTACAGAGCTATAGAGCATAGAGCTTTTCTAGAAGGAATATGAGTAGCTGGATGATCAGAAACATAACAGTTCAAGGGTCACATTGAGTTAATTTTGTGGTAATTGTGAAGCTTATTTATTCAATTTTTAGACTCATATAATCATAAGTAGTTGGCTAACATTGGTCAAGATCACATTTTTCCTGGCTGAGTTTTCTTTGATTAAAACCTCACTATAGTTTGTAGTTTTGCTCTTGCCTCTTTCTCTCCATCTCCTTTATTCTTTTGCCAATACTGTATACATTCTTTTTGGATTTCAAGACAGGGTTTCTCTGTGGTTTTGGAGGCTGTCGTGGAACTAGCTCTTGTAGACCAGACTGGTTTCCAACTCACAGAGATCCGCCTGTCTCTGCCTCCCGAGTGCTGGGTTAAAGTCGTGTGTCACCAGCCCCTCAATGCTACTGTATATACATAGTTGATTGTTGGAGCTTTTGTTGTAAATATAGAACTCACATTGTGTCGATGTGTGCACTATTTTTCCTATTTCTTTGAGCATTCTGAGTGTTTCTACTTTGCATGTAGCTTTGGAATGAGCTTTCCTTTATAAATGGTTAGGAATTTTCTTTGGATTATACTCAGTATTTGCTTCCAATAGTCCATAAGCAATATCTTAATACTGGTGCATCATTATCCTAAGGGTCAGTTATTTACTTCTTTATTTATTTGATTTTGTTGTTGTTAATTTGTAAAAGTTTTCTACTGTATGTGATAAAAGTACAGTAGGTCTTGGTAGATGGTTCAGCACATACTCTTCTTCGGGATAACCTGAGTTCCTATCCTAAAACTAGAGTCAGAGCCAGGCAGTGGTGGCACACGCCTTTAATCCCAACACTCAGGAGGCAGAGGCAGGTGGATCTCTGTGAGTTTGAGACCAGCCTGGTCTAGAGAGCTAGTTCCAGGACAGCTTGGGCTGTTATAGGGAAAACCCTGTCAAAAAAAGAAAGTCAGGATGTTCATAACCTCCTTCTGCTACTCTATATCCAAGGGAATTTGACACCCTTTTCTGTCGTGTGTCACCTCTGTACACAAGGAAGACATTCTCTCACACACACATGCACATAAATGGAGATAAATGTGTTTTCTAAAGTGCTTGTGACGTAGAAAACAATTGATGGAAAACAAGTTTTAGGTGTATAATAAAAATCATACAATGTTCCCTTAAGAATTGGTTCTCTTGTATTTGTTTTTAAGGGTTGGGAGCCCCACTAAACTCCAAGCTAAATTCCACAATATATTTGCAGAGGACCTAGTACAGATGAATGCAGGCTCTGTGATTGCTATTTCAGTCTCTGAGAGCCTCTATAATCCCTTTTTGTTGATTCTGTGGGGCTAGGTTTTCCTGGTGTCCTTGACTATGTTGATATATTGTTTATAATGTAATAAAGCTTGCCCAAAGATGAGACGGCATAGCCACACACAGCCATAGAGACCAGGCAGTGCGGTACATACCTTTTGATTCTTTTATTCTTTTTTATTTGAATTAGAAACAAGATTGTTTTACATGTCAATCCTAGTTCCTACTCCCTCCCCTCCTCCCCTACCCCCCCCAACTAAAACCCTACCTATCACACATCCCTTCTGCTCCCCAGGGAGGCAGAGGCCTTCCATAATAGGGGGTCATCAGAGTCTATCATATACTTTTGGATAGGGCCTAGGCACACCCCCCATGTCTTGGTTCAGAGAGTATCCCTGTATGTGGATTGGGCTTCCAAAGTCTACACCTAACTAGGGATAAGTACTGACCTACTATAGGAGGTCCCATAGATTTCTGAGGTCTCCTCACAGAAACCACATTCCTGGGGTCTGGATCAGTCCCATTCTGGTATCCCAGTTATCACTCTGGGACCAAGAGCTCCCCGTTGTTCAGGTCAGCTGTTTCTGTTGATTTCAGTAGCCTGGTCTAGAACCCTTTGCCCATCATCACTCGTTCTTCTCTGCAACTGCATTCTGGTTCAATTCAGTGATTAGTTGTGGGTGTTGGCTTCTACTACCACCAGCTGCTGGATGAAGGCTATAGGATGGCATATAAGTCAGTCATCAATCTCATTATCAGGGGAGGGCATTTAAGGTAGCCTCTCCTCTGTTTAGATTGTTAGTTGGTGTCATCCTTGTAGATCTCCAGAACTTTCCCTAGTACCTGATTTCTCTGTAAACCTAAAATGTCTCCCTCTATTATGGTATCTCCTTTCTTGTTTTCTTCTATTCTTCCCCTTACTCAACCTTTCTGTTCCTTCATGTCCTCTGCACCCCTCCTCTTCTCCCCTTCTCATTCTCCTAGCTCTCTTCCCCCTCCTCCCTTGCTCCCAATTTGCTTAGGAGACCTAGACTCTTTCCCTGTCTCTAGGGGATCAAGTATATCTCTCTTAGGGTCCTCCTTGTTTACTATCTTCTCAGGCAGTGTGAATTGTAGGCTGGTATTCCTTTATCCTATGTCTAAAATCCACATATGAGTGAGTACGACCACCTTTCTCTTTTTGTGATTGGGTTACCTCACTCAGAATGGTTTCTTCTAGGTCCATCCATTTTCCTGACAATTTCAAGTGTCCATTGTTTTTTTCTGCTGAGTAGTACTCCATTGTTGAAATGTACTATATTTTCTCTATCCATTCTTCGTTTGAGGGGCATCTAGGTTGCTTCCAGGTTCTGGCTATTACAAATAGTGCTGCTATGAACATCGTTGAACAGATGTCTTTGTTGTATAAATGTGCTTCTTTTGGGTATATGCCAAAGAGTGGAATTGCTGGATCTTGTGGTAGACTGATTCCCATTTTCTTGAGGAACTGACAAACTAATTTCCAAAGTGGCTGTACAAGTTGGCACTCCCACCAGCAGTGGAGGAGTGTTCCCCTTTCTCCACATCCTCTCCAGCATAAACTATAATTGGTGTTTTTGATTTTAGCCATTAAACAGGATTGAGTAGGTATCTCAGAGTTGTTTTGATTTGCATTTCCCTGATGGCTAAGGATGTTGAACACTTTCTTATGTGTCTTTCATCCATTTTATATTCCTCTATTGAGAATTGTCTATTTAGGTCTGTACCCCACTTTTTAATTGGATTTTTTTGTGTTTTGGAAACTCACTTCTTGTGTTCTTTGTATATTTTGGAGATCAGCCCTCTGTCAGATGTGGGGTTGGTGAATATCTTTTCCCATTCTGTGGGCTGGCGTTTTGTCTTCCTGATTGTGTCCTTAGCCTTACAGAAGCTTCTCAGTTTCAGGAGGTCCCGTTTATCAATTGTTGATCTCAGTGTCTGTGCTACTGGTGTTATGTTCAGGAATCGGTGTCCTGTACCAATTAATTCAAGGGTATTTCCCACACTGTCTTCGAATAGGTTCAGTGTGACTGGATAGATGTTGAGGTATTTGATCCATTTTGACTTAAGTTTTGTGCAGGGAGAAAGGCTTGGGTCTATCTGTAGTCTTCTACATGTTAGCATCCAGTTATGCCAGTACCATTTGTTGAAGATATTTTCTTTGTTCCAGCGTATATATTTGGATTGTTTGTCAAAAATCAAGTGTGTGGGTTAATATCAGGGATTTTCAACTCTATTCGATTGGTCTACCTGTCAATTTTTGTGCCAATACCAAACTGTTTTCAGGACTATAGCTCTGCAATAGAACTTGAAGTCAGGGATGGTGATGCCTCCAGGAGTTCCTTTATTCTACAGCATTGTTTTGGCTATCGTGGGTCTTTTGTTTTTCCATATAAAATTGAGAATTGTTCTTTCAAGGTCTGTAAAGAATTGTGTTGGGATTTTGATGGGGATTGCATTGAATCTGTAGATTGCTTTTGGCAAGATTGCCATTTTTACTATGTTGATCCTACCTATCCAAGAACATTGGAGATCCTTCCATTTTCTGGTGTCTTCTTTAATGTCTTTCTTTAGAGACCCAAAATTCTTAGAGTACAAGTCTTTCTTTTTTTTTTTTTTTGTTTTTTAGCATTACCCGAAGGTATTTTATGTTGTTTGTGGCAATTGCAAAGGGTGATATTTCTCTGATTTCTTTCTCCATGAATGTATCTTCTGTATATAGTAGGGCTACTGATTTTTTTGAATTAATCTTATATCCTGCCACTTTGCGGAAGGTGTTTATCAGCTGCAGGAGTTCCCTGGTAGAGCTTTTGGGTCACTTAAGTAACTATCATATCATATGCAAATTGTAAGTTTGACTTCTTCCTTTCTGATTTGTATCCCCTTGATATCCTTTTGTTGTCTTATTGCTCTAGCTAGAACTTCAAGGACAGTATTGAAGAGGTATGGAGACAGTGGACATCTGTGTCTTGTCCCCAATTTTAGAGGAATTGCATTGAATTTCCCTCCATTTATTTTACTGTTGGCTGCATTGAATAAAAATATCCCATATAGAATGAAACATATGAACACTTGGCTCTCATTGGTAGCTTTCTTTGTGGTCCTTATTGGAATCATTATTAGGAGAAGTATTCAAGGTTTATATTATTGTTTGGCAAACCTGGAATGAAGGTTATTGCACATGTCAAACATATGCTGTTGTTCTGAGCTTCACCAATGTCTTCAATTATTTTTCTAATCAATATCACACTTCCAGAATGCAGTGACCTATGATGATGTGCATATCAGCTTCACTAGCAAAGAATGGGCTTTGCTTGATACTTCCCAGAAGAATCTCTACAAAGATGTGATGCTGGATACTTACAGTAACCTTGCTGCTATAGGTAAGACTGAATTTCCCTGCAACTTTTAAAATAAGAAGACAACTGTTTCTTGGTTATTGGTCCTCTTCTGTAATTTTGAAAATGCTGCAAAATGTGTTGAAAAAAAATTAAGGATGATTCTTAGGGTCACTGAATATAGTAATTCAAATTTTGTGTACTTTCCAGTAATATATCATGCATTTTCTGGTACTATATTGTAGGCTACAAATGGGAAGCCCATAATATTGAAGAACATTGTCAACAATTTAGAAGACACAGAAGGTAACTTTCTGTTCCAGACGGATGTCTTCAGCACTGTGAACACAACCAGTTGTGCACTCCCTGGTCCAATTCTAATGGGGTGTGTGGGATTGGGGAACGGGAAAGTTAACTACCCAACAACACTAATTATGAGACAGGAAACACCATATAATGCTGGGAGGAGGGCTCCCAGCAGATACTGAGAAGCCACTGTTTATTGAAGAATCCTCTTAAATAGTTCCTCAAGAGCAGGGGCAGTACCAGAAAGCATCTATTATCAGTTATATAGCTGATATCCAGTGATTCTTTTAAATCAAGCCTCGCCTAAACAGTTCCTAGTCAGGTAGACAGAGTTCTCAGCCCAGGTGTGGGCCTACTCAATGCTTAGGCCCATAGAGATGCAAACTAGGAGGCATTCTCCACTGAGGTTATGCTGTTCAGTGGCAAATCAGCTAGCATCTGCAATACAAAAGATGCTAGGGCTTCCAGACGTCTGAACCCCAAGAATTTCTCTAATGGAATTGTTACCGCTCCTGACAATTTTCATGTGCAAACTAACACAGAAGAATTTTAGTGTGTCTTGGAAGTTTTAGGAATGAGTAACAGTGTACATAAGTACAGCTTTAAATGTATTGATTATTAAATTTTCACAAGACCATGTACCTCAATGTCCTATAGCTGATTTCTATTAACAAGACTTTCCGAAGACAATGCATTAATAGATATCACCGTTTTAATTATAGCCCTATGAGAGATAGGCTGTAGGTCTGTCAATCTATTAGTTTCATACCAATGTGATATGGCAAAAGACATACCTGATGATTAGGTGATAAGTACATGTCTAAAGCTTTCTAATAAGCAAGTAATCCATATTAAAGTTAGTATTACTGAAATACTTGTGGTGAGTTACCAAAGTATATTGAGAGTGGCAGTTTATGATAGTTAAGAAGGTGGTTATGGAGAAACTTTAATACCCATATCTCTATGAAGAACAAAAATTAAACTGGGTGAATTATGGAAACCTTTAATTTGATATTTTTTCTTTATTAGTATATTATGTCAGTATTGAAAGAAGCCAGGTGTGCATAAAGAATATAGAAAGAATAGCAATGTACATCTCTCCTAGAACAATTAGAAGATATCTAGTAGTCCCCAGTTGGAATAGACTTTCTGAATATAAGTTTACCATTCAGTTTTTCTATCTTCATTTGTAATATATCACCTCATACCACCACGGAAACTCCTGTTAACACAAAAAGCAGAAATACTTGTTTATCTTTGTTCACTTTGCAAATGTAGTGTGTCTTACAGTATAAGAGAATGTTATGAATATAATCACCATGTAACTCTGAGTTCTTCCACATCCCTTGAATTACATGGAAAAAGCTTATATGAAAAAGGGTATAAATGTGACCCATGTACTAAGTCTGACCATTACAGGTACATGTGAAAGAAACTATTATGAAGGAGCCCTATTAATGTAAACAACCTGGTAAAATCTTAAGATCTGACTCCTCTTTAAAATTAGATCAAACTGTAAAATTAAGTCATATATATAAAAACATTTATCAACATAATGAATGTGGTAAAGTATTTACATGTCCAATTATCTTTGCAGGCTTAAAAGAAGACATACTGAAGAGAAACCCTACAAATGTAGTCAATGTGGTAAAGCCTTTTCACAGAGGAGTCACCTCCATGCTCATAAAAGAACCCATACTGGAGAGAAACCCTATGAATGCGATCAATGTGGGAAAGCCTTTTCACAATGTAGTCATCTCAACACTCATAAAAGAATTCATAGTGGAGAGAAACCCTTTCAATGTAATCAATGTGAGAAAGCTTTTGCAGATCACAGTTATCTTAAAAAACATGAAAAAACTCATACTGGAGTGAAACCCTATGAATGTAACCAATGTGGTAAAACCTTTTCAAAACCTGAGAGTCTCCGAATACATAAAAGGAATCATGCTGGAGAGAAACCCTATCAATGTAATCAATGTGAGAAAGCTTTTGCAGATTACGGTTATCTTAAATTACATGAAAGAATCCATACTGGAGAGAAACCCTATAAATGCAGTCAATGTGGGAAGGCCTTTTCACAACAGAGTCATCTCAACATTCATAAAAGAACCCATACTGGAGAAAAACCCTACGAATGTAAGCAATGTGGTAAAGCTTTTTCAAATTGCAGTGGTCTTAAAACACATGAAAGAATTCATACGAGAGAGAAACCCTATGAATGTAATCAATGTGGGAAAGTGTTTTCACACAGGTCTAGTCTCCGGACACATGAAAGAACTCATACTGGTGAGAAACCCTTTGAATGTAATGAATGTGGGAAAGCCTTTCGAAAACGCAGTGCTCTCCAAACGCATAGGAGAACTCATATTGGTGATAAACCCTGTGAATGTAAGCAATGTGGTAAAACTTTTTCAAATAGCAGAGGTCTTAAAATACATGAAAGCATTCATACTAGAGAGAAACGCTATGAATGTAAGCAATGTGGGAACGTGTTTTCACACAAGCCTAGTCTCCAGATACTTAAAAGAACTAATACTGGTGAGCAACCCTATGAACGTAATGAATGTGAGACAGCTTTTCCAAAACCCAGTGCTCTCCAAACACCTAAGAGAACTCCTACAAGGGAGAAACCCAAGCCGGACAGTGGTGGCGCATGCCTTTAATCCCAGCACTCGGGAGGCAGAGACAGGTGGATCTCTGCTAGTTCGAGACCAGCCTGGTCTACAGAGCCAGTTCCAGGACAGTCTCCAAAACAATACAGAGAAACCCTGTCTCGAAAAACTGAGAGAGTGATTGAGAGAGAGAGAGAGAGAGAGAGAGAGAGAGAGAGAGAGAGAGGGAGAGAGAGAGAGTCCCTTTGAATGTAAGCAATGTTGGAAAACCTTTTCACAACATAGTCATCTTCAGATTCATAAAAAAAACTCATACTAAGGGAAGACATCCAAGGTGCATCTGAAGCCACTCAGTCTAGGCAAACACAAGCCATCCACTTGTGTCCTCAACACTGTGGCTGGCAGAAAGACAATCAGCTCATATGATCATACTTTGTTCATGCAGTCACAAGCTAACCCCAAACCAGCCTGGGGGTTCAAATCGTGGCATGGCAGGAAGGCATCTTGGGCCCATCTGATGCCACTCTGCTCAGACAGGCTTTAGCCGCCCCCAAGCCAGCCTGGTTCCTCCAATTTTGCCATGGTAGGAAGATTTCTGTGGGTCCATATGATGCCACATGGCTCAGGTGGGCACAAGCCACCCATAGGCCAGCCTGGATCCTCAAGACCTCTGCTGACAGGAAGACATCCAGCACTCATCTGATTCCACTTGACTCAGGCAAACACAGGCCACCTCAAGACCTGGGCTGGCAGGAAGACATCCAAGGCCCAAGCTGGCACTAGGCATGTGGATCCAAATATGATAAGCAAGTATGTGGTAGGGAAAGAAGCAGAATGGTCCATGTATTGTAGAACAAGACCTGGCAGATGCAAAGGTGGTAAGTAGTAGACATGTGGGAGCCCTTGCCACTCAGTGACTTCATGACATCCAGGCCTAGGCTCCTGCCAAGGGCTATCTCAGGGTCCATGATCCTCTCAGAGCAAGAATCAGTGGCCCTCTAGGGTCCATGTTGTCACCAGTGGCCATCTAGGTGTCTAAGAGCCATGATGATCTTGGTAGAGTCCTGACAGCTGGGGCCATTGTGTGTTCCAGTCCTGAGCTGCTGCTGAGTGCCATGTGTGGGTGGGTCCATAGCCCTACAAGAGCCAGGGTCTGAGTTGACACCTGTTGCTCTTCTTGCAACTGAAGGCGGTGTGGGTGCCTGGAGTCTGGTATGCCACCTGGGACCATATTGGTGCACAAGGGCCATAATGCATCTGGGATCTTCAGATCTAACTGGCATGTGATACTCTGATTCTATTGTGACATCTGGGCCAGAGCTGCAGCTGAGGGCCATGTCTGGGTCAGTGACCTTACTGAAGCTGGGATATATTCTGATGGTTGTGGCTCTAGATGCCACAACGGTCATGTGGATTCCTGGCCGTCTGGGCTTTCCTCTGGGGCCATGTTGTTACTTGTAGTAGTTTGAAAGTTTTTGGCTCCCATAATCTCATAGGGAGTGGAATTATTTGTTGTAGTGGATATGACCTTGTTGTATAAAGTGAGATATTTTCAATGCAACCTTTGAAGTTTCTTGTGCTCAGGATAACCACCACTGTCTCATCAACTTCCTGTTACTTTAAGATGCAGGACTCTTAGCTGTCTCTCCAGCACCACATTGCCTGCATGTCACCAAGCTCTGTGCCATGATGATAATGGGCTTCAGTCTGAAACTGTAAGCCAGCCACCCCAGTTAAATGTTTTCTTTATGAGAGCTGCTCATGATGTATCTTCATAGCCATAAAAATCCTAACATAGATAGAAGATGGTGCCAGAATTGGGGTATTGCTGTGATAGGCCTGACCATGTTTTTGGAGGAATTTGGTATTTTGGGGTTTGGAAAGCAGGAAATACTTTAAGCACTGTTTAATGGGCCATACTAGGGGGTGCATGGAAGACAGTGGTGCGAAATGTAATTTGATGAACTTTGAGGGGCTCACTCAAGCGTTTTCTGAGAATTTTCGTATCTTCTTTAGAAAGATCATTCTTGTTACTGTTTTGCTGAAGAAAATGCTGCCTTTTGCCCTTATCTCAAGAGTCTCCCTGAGCCTAAAGTGAATAAATTTGAATTAATTCCATTGGCAGAAGAAATCTCAAAGAGCCCGGTATAGATTCTGTCATGTAGTTATGAGTGGTAACTAATGAAGATTTATAAGGAAGAGGAGCAAGCTGAACAGGTAAACTAAATTACAAAATGCAAAATTTAAGGAGAAAGGGAACACCAAAAGGTAAAATGGAACTAAGTCCTGTGTTCAAAGAAATAAAGAAATGGAATAAAGGGAGTGGTGATTTCAGGGAAAGATCCTACCCAGCTGTTTCTAACAAGGAAAAAAGGAATTAAAGAAAATATCAGAGCCTAATATGGTGGTTCGAGCTGTTAATCCCAGCACTCTGGAGGCAGAGACAGGCAGATCTCACCCAGCTAAATTTCCAATTTGTGAAAAGTAATTTAAGAAATGCTTAGAGAAGGCTGTGTTGTTGAACAGTTTGATCCCAACACTGAAAAGTCAGCAGATGATGGATCTCTGAGTTTGAGGCCAGCCTGGTCTACAGGGTCCAAAAACAAGGCAGTGTATGTGGAAAACAGAGAGCTGGTGAAGATGTAATTGAACATGAGGGGCCATGTTCCAGCCCCAGGAAGCAGCAGAACCTGGCAACTTTGGTAATGTGGCTCAAACTTTTGAGTTGAGAGTAGAAGAAATGGGTTATGGAAACAGTCACTATGCTTAAGGAACGTCAGTGAGGCCAGGCATGTATCAGGATTCTGCTTGAATGGAGTTGAAGCCTGGATTTACTTGGAGGACCCAAGATGTTAGAGGTGTGAGAGTCATGGGATACCTGCTGAGGAGAGCTGCTAACGGAGTGGAACTAGTCCAAGAAAAAGAAGTGTGTTGCCATCAACAAAGCTGAACAAGAGATGGTGTTTTGACGCAGAATTTGGAGTATGCCCACCTGGTTTTTGGTCTTGTTTTGACACTATTTCCTCACTATTCTCCCTTCCCTACATTTTGGAATGGTAATGGATATTCTAAGCCATTATATGTTGGAAGTATGCAATCTGCTTTTTGATCTTGATTTTACAGGGGATTACAGTTAAGAGACTGCATGGTCTCAAGAAAAACTTTGAACTTTGGACTTCCAAGCATTGATGAGACTGATAAACTATGGGAACATCTGTAGTTGAACTGAATGTACTTTGCACTGTGACATTGTTAAAATGTTTATAGGAGCCAGGAGGTAGAATGTGGTGGTTTAAATATATTTGCCCCCATAATCTCATAGGGGGTAGCTCTATTAGGAGATATGGCTTTGTTGGAGGAAGTGTGTCTTAGGGTGGTAGGGGTTTGAGGCTTCCTATACTCAGGGTACTGTCAAGTGTTTTCAGTTAACTTCCTTTCACCTACAAGATATAGGACTCTTGGTTCTAGCACCAGTCTGCCTGAACACTGCCATGTTCCCCATCTGATGATAATGAACTTTATTCTTAAACAGTAAGTGAGCCACCCTAATTAAATGTTTTCCCTATAAGCATTTCTATGGTCACTAGGGAAATGTCCAGAGATCCACAAGGATGACCCCAACTAAGAATCTAAGCAATAGTGGAGAGGCTACTTAAATGCCCATCCTCTAAAATAAAATGACTACCTTAAATGCCATCCTAGAGCCTTCATCCAGTCGCTGATAGAAGCAGAGATTCAGAGCTAAGCACTGAGCAAAACTCCTGGAATCCAGTTGTAGAGAGGGGGAGGGATGATCAAAGGGGTCAATGCCATGCTGGAGAAACCCACAGAAACAGCAGACCTGAGCACCTGGGATTGCACGGACCCCAGCCAGATAGCTGGAGAACCACCATGGGACCAAACCAGGTCCCCTGATCGTGGGTGTCAGTTGAAACGCCTGGACAGTCTTTAGGGACTCTGGCAGTAGAACCAGTATTTATCCCTAGTGCATGAATGGATGTCCGGGAGCCCATTGCCCATGGAGGTATACTCTCTTAGCCTAGATACACGGGGTAGGGCCTAGGCCCTGCCCCAAATGACTTAACAGTTTTTGGTGGTTCCTAATGGAAGGGATCATCCCTGTTGAGTGGATTGGGGATGGGATGGGCAGTCAGTTGGGGCTGATGGGAGGCTGGGAGGGAATGGGAGGCTGGGAGGGAACTGGGATCAATATGTAAAATATGATTGTTTCTAATTTGAATAAAAGTATTGCCATGGTCACCATGTCTCTTCTAAACAATAAATTCCCTAAGACAGTATCTAAATCTTCACTGACACAGACAATGCCAATCTGGGAAGCCTTCATCACCACCTGGGGCCATGGTGACATCCAGACCTTAGCTGCTGCTAACCATCATATCTTGGTCTGTGTTGCCACCAGGAGCGGCACAGAGGCCCAGGGTCTGGGCCACAGTCTGTGGCCCTGTTGTAGTCTGTGGGCCATGCCACAGCCAGGGCCATATTGATCTAAGTGACCTGTGCTACCACCCACAGCAATAGTGTCATCTGGTCTTGGGAAGCTACCAAGGACCATGTCTGAGTCTGTGGCCAATGACAGCCAGGTTCTATGATATCATGGCTCCTGATGTTCTGGGGTCTGCATCTGGGGCCATGATGATATCTGAGGGTTGTACTCTCACCAGAGCCATGCTAGCCTGCACCACCACCATGGGATATTAAAGTGGGAAATTACCAATACAGAGCCAAGTAGAAATATAAGTGTATTTAATAGGGAAAAGCCTTACAGAGCGACCTAGCCAGATGGCATGGCAGCAGTCTGTATGCAAGTCGAAAAGGGGCAAACGAAAGTGAAATGCAGCCCTGACCCTCTCACCCCATATCACCCTGACCACACCTGCAGACGTGGCTACAGGTTCCCCTACAGGACATGGTTACATAATGGACCCAGATTGCTGCTGAGAACCATGTCTGGCTTCATGGTCCTACCACATCCTGGGCCTGTGTTGAAGTCTATGGCCCGTGTTGCCACCAAGGGACAAGTAGATGCCCAGGGTCGGGTCAGTCGCCTGAATTCATGTTGAGGCTGGGGCTATGCATATCTGAGCTGCTTGATGTCTGGGCCAAAGCTACAGCTGAGGACCACACCTGTGTCCATGGCGCTGCTGCAGCAACAGTCTATTGATGTCTGATGTTCCTGTTACCATAGAAGAGCAAAGAAAATACAAGGTGTAGTCAGAGATAGGCTAATAATTGGTAGTTTATTAGGGGAAAATACTCACACAAGGGAACCAGTTACCAGGTTTGAACTTTAGCAGGACAGATCCACAAATGCTTTCCAGTTGGCTCAGCCTAGTGGGATACCTGAGTACACAACTCTTATTTTTTTTCTTCCAGATTTTTTATTTGAATTAGAAACAAGATTGTTTTACATAATAATCCCAGTTCCCTTCTCCCTCCCGTCCTCCCCTACCACCACCTCCCTGACTAAAACCCTACCTATCACATATCCTTTCTGCTCCCCCTGGATTGTGAGGCCTACCATAGGGTGTCATTAGGGTCTACATATCTTTTGGGATAGGGCCTAGGCCCACCCACCCGGGTCTTGGCTCAGGGAGTATTCCTCTATGTGGAATGGGCTCCCAAAGTCCACACCTATGTTAGGGATAAGTACTGAACTACTACAGGAGGTCCTGTAGATTTCCGAGGTTTCCTCAATGAAATCCAAGTTCCTGGAGTCTTGTATGGATCATTATTCTATGGCAATTTTCAAACTTTTTTTCTTTTCTTTTTTTTAAATTTATGTATTAGTTCTAGTTAGGGAACAAGCTTGTTTCACATGTAAGTCCCTTCTCCCTCTGCCTCCCCTCACTCCCATCTCTCCTCCCCCACCTCTAACCTACCCCCCACCCCATCCCCCCACCACTCCCCAGGAAGGGTAGGGCCCTCAACGGGGGCTCTGCAAAGTCCCTTCTTATATCAGGAAAAAATACGAATCCACTACCAGAGGCTCCCTGGAGTGCAGAGTCCTTATTGACATCCATGTTCAGGGGTCTGGATCAGTCTTGTACTGGCCTCCCTGACAGCATCTGGGGTCCATGTGCTCTCCCTTGTTCAGGC